TATCCCTAATACTTTGGCTGGCTTTTAGGAACCTATTCCTTGTACTGGTTTGTCTTGTCCAGCCTTACTACAGGGGAAGCAGCTTAGTCCTACCTCAACTTGATATAACATGCTTTGTTGACACCCATTGGGAGGCCTGCCCCTTTCTGAAAAGAAATGGAGTAGTAGATTGGGGAAAGGATGAGAGGAGAGGAGGGAGGGGAAATTAAGGTCAGGATGTAAAATATGTGAATAAATTTAATTAATATTAAAAAAGAAAAATTTTAATGAATAAAAGAAAGATGAAGAAAAATGGAATATTTAAATATATTAAAATAGTAGCCAAAAAAAAGCCGGATGTTGATGGCGCATGCCTTTAATCCCAGCACTCAGGTGGTAGAGGCAGGAGGATATCTGTGAGTTCGAGACCAGCCTGGACTACAAGAGCTAATTCCAGGACAGCCTCCAAAGCCACAGAGAAACCCTGTCTCAACCAAAAAAAAAAAAAAGGCAGGCATTACACATTACATAGGACAAGCACATGTTTGTATAGGACAGAGACATGAAGAAAAGTTTAAGATGAATCCAAACATGGTGGCATATACCTACAATGTGAGCACTCTTGACACCAAGCCTGGGCTACTTATGAAGATTCGTCTCAAAAACCTGACAAACAAGAAATTTTTAGATAATGGAATGAAGTTGAAATAATGTTTCAACTTTAGAAGAGTGGTGGTGGCATATACTTTTAATCCCTACACTCAAGAGGTAGAGGCAGATAGATCTTTGAGTTTGAGGCCAGCTTGGCCTACAGAGTGAGTTCCAGGATCGATATACCCTATACAGATAAACCCTATCTCTAAAATAAAAGAAAGGAAGAAAAAGGAAAGAAGGAAGGAAGGTAGGGAGGAATGAAGGAAGGAAGGAAGAAAGGAAGAATAAAATGAGTTTCTCTTCAACCATATCATGGTTATTCCCTCCTTGCCTTCCCTCTATGTAAACTCCACTGTGAATGCAGTACCTTGGGCTTGTACAATCTGGAATCCCTGAATTTAGCCAGGCAAGTATGTGCCTATACATTCATTTGATTCGTTAGATCTGATGCTGACAGTGCTGTAGATTTTACTTGAGCTCAGGAAATTTAACTTCTAAATTATAGCTAGTATTTGGTTAGATATTTACTAAAATTCAGAAGCTAGGATTGGACTGCCAATCTTACATGGTGAAAGAGCTCAGACTATGAAAAGCACAATTTCTAGCTCACTGCATACACTTCAACACAGGAACTGTGACCTCCACAGGGGCAAGACTTACTCCATGTGGGGTATGAAAAACATTACACTTCTTATACACAAAACACAGATGATATACCTATGTGACAGAAATGGATATAGAATATATTTGTAGTGTTAAATTTTCACTAGACCGTAGTCACACAGGCAGCCCTGGCAAATCTTAGTATGTCATGAAACAAACTGAATAGACATGATGAATGTAAGAGAGATTTGTGGGAGGGGGTAGACAGTTCTAGGGAGGTAGGTGGTGCATGGTGTATATGTGTGAAATAAGAATAAATTTAATTACTAATAAAACATTTCCCAGGAGGAATATGGATAGGAAAATAAAAGTTTAAAATATGGGACTATACTTCAGTGGCACAGCACTCTCATAGCATGTGTGAAGCTCGGAGTTTGGTCCCTAGCAGCAGAAAGAAAAACAGGTTCGATAGAGGGCTGATTACAAAAAGATGCTCAGAAACAGAGACCCAAACCTTATATTCATAGACAACTTTAGCTTTCTTATATTAGATTGTAAAGTTCAAAAGGGCAGAACATGTAACCTGGTTTGTACTTTCAGCAATGCACAGGTGTTTATGGTCAACTGCCTTCAGTAACTGTTTTTTTTTTTTTTCAGTAACTGTGTTTTTAATTGAATTAATATGGAACACATCTTCCCCTTCTTGCTCTATGAATTCTGGACGTATAATCAAAATCAGTAAAGCAAGCAACCTGTCATAGTCTCTTTTACAAAAACCCCATCAGAATATAACTTCTCTAAAAGAATAAAACATTGTCAAAGTAGCAAGCAGATTGAAGACAGGAATTTTGGCTTGGATTTTCAGTTCTACTAACCAAATTACTCAAAGAAGAGAATAAGAACTGGGAAGATACAGAAGATGGGGTGCTACAGACATTTTTACTAGTCTTATTTATATTTTTATTTTTATTTATTTTTAAAGCTTTTATTTGTTTATTACGTATACAACATTCTGCTTCCATGTATATTCCATGTACACCAAAAGAGGGCACCAGATCTCATAATGGATAGTTGTGAGCCACCATGTGGTTCCTGGGAATTGAACTCAGGACCTCTGGAAGAGCAGTCAGTGCTCTTAACCTCTGAGCCATCTCTCCAGCCCATATTTTTATTTTTTTGAGACAGGGTCTCACTATGTAGCTCTGGCTCTTCTGGAACTCACTATGTAGACTAGGCTGCCCTCAAACTTAGAGATCTGCTTACCTCTGCCTCTCGAGTGCTGGGATTAAAGGCATGCAGCACCATGCTCTTTATTAGTATTATATAAACCCAAAATTTGTATTGGAATTCCCCAAACAGACTATGGCTTAAATATTCCATATATTTTGGTTTTATTGCTGTTTCTTTTCAAGACAGGATTCTCTGTGTAACAGTTCTGACTGTCCTGGAACTTGCTTTGTAGACCAGGCTGGCCTCAAAGTCACAGTGATCTGCCTGCCTCTGCCTCCTGAGTGCTGGTAATAAAGGCATGTGCCAGCCCCCACCCCTACCCCAAGCTGGGCTCATAATTTTGAATGCTTGGTCCCAAGTTTAAAACTGTTTGGGAAGGATTGGGTGTGGCCTTGTAGGAGATGTGTCACTGAGCGTGGGCTTTCAGGTTTCAAAAGCCAATGCCATACTAGTTGACTCCCTGCCTCCAGCTTGAGGATGAAATGTGAGCTCTCAACTACTGCTTTAGCACCAGGCCTGCTGCCATGCTCCCCTCCAAGAGGGTCACAGACTCTAATACCCTCTGGAATTATGAACCCCAAATTCAATGCTTTGTTTTAAAAGTTGACTTGGCCATGATGTTTTGCCACAGCAACAGAAAAGCAACTAAGACATGTGGGTGCTGCTACTTAAGCCTGAGTCCTCTGGAAGGGCAACCAGTGCTCTTAATGATAAGCAATTTTCTAGCCACTGTCCTATATCATTATACCTACAAATTCTTTCCAGAACATTAATTATTCTTCCACAAATATTCAGCTCAGGCCAGTCACATCCCTTAGAAGTCCTGTTTGACAATCTTGTCTGCTTCCTACTCTGAGTCAGATTCTTAACGTTTCCCAACATTAAGATCATCATCTACTATGATAGTAATATTTAACATATTATTGTGTGATTCATGGCTTAAAATGCATTTTACTAGTCTATGAGCATGTCAGTGGCTGAAATGATTTTATTCGTCTTCTTAACCTAAATAGCCAGCATTATGCCTGACATATTGTTGACTGATTCGTTGAATTAACTAATATACAGGCCTGTAAGAGCAGTGGGTGACCTTTTCAATAATTTGGCAAATGAATGCTGCTTGAAACAGATTTAATGGTTAGTAATTTAAAACAGACTAAATGGTCATCTTTGTATATATTTAGGCCTAAACAAAGTTTTGTGTTTCTTCTGTTTTCCATATGACATGAATCCTTAGTCATCTGTTACAATCAAATGAAGAAAATAGTTATTCCTATTTTGTATTCAGGTGAGATATCAGGCTGAAAAGATAGTAAATAAATTGCTTAAGATCACATAATTAGTGGGGTTTTCTGCTCTGAAGCCTATGGGGCTGCTATATAGCGGTGCCTTTAATTTTTTAGTTTTTTGATATAGGGTCCCCTATGTAGCGCTGGCTGACCTGTGTAGACCAAGCTGGTCTTTAACTCACAGAGATCCATCTGTCTGATTCCTGAGTGCTGGGATTAATGGTGTGCTCCACCTGGATTGGTGGTTTAATTTTTGAAAACAGTGTGTGAGTTTCTCATTTTCATATTTAAAATGATTGCCATGTTTTGTGTATCTTTGATTGTTAAACAGCTGGAACACAATGAGTGCCTTTTCTGTGTTTCAAATATTTTCATTTTAATTTAATTTTTTTGAGGCAGGGTTTCTATGTGTAGCCCTGACTGTCTTGGAATTCACTCTGTAGACCAAGTTGGCCTAACACTCAGAGATCTGCCTGCCTTTGCCTCCTGGGACTAAAGGCATATGCTACTACCATGACAACTCTAATATGTTGTTTCAGCTTAAAATATAATTGTTATTTTAAATCATATAAGCAAAATTAAGCTATTAAATTTAAAAGGCATAAATATTGTCTTAGTGTTAGTTTCCATCATGGCAGCAGTCTGCCTTTGCTACCAAAGCAGTTCGATGGTGCCTTTAATAGTTAGCAGAATAGAGCCAGGCATAGTGAACATATGACTTTATGAGTCCAGCACATTGGAGACAAGGCAGGAAGGCCTCAAATTCTGTCCGGCATGGGCTACACAGGGAGATTCTATCTGAAAAAACCCAAACCAGAAAAAAATTTTCCCCAAAACTGATTGTGGTAGTACACGCCTTAATCCCATTACCTGGGAGGCAGACGCAAGATCTCTACAGATTCAAGGTCAGTATGGTCTACATATCCATTTCTAGGACAGCAAGGGCTACACAAAGAGACCTTGTCTCAAAAAACAAAACCCTCAAGTAAAAAAAAGTTGAATAAAGAGATTGGGCTTATTTTAGTCACAAAGCCCTGAGTTCAATTCCCAGTACCTCAAAGAAAAAAAACATTCTGTTAAAATATCTCCTCTACATCATACCCGTGTCTAATCCTCTCCATTTGCAACTTCCCACATATATTCATGTAGAAAACTACAAGGCTCACAGCTTCCATGCACCTTGGAAAATGTGCCCATACATACTTTGATTTGTGTACAAAGAAATATACCAATTGACAACTAATATAGCACTTTGGGACCATTTTATTTAGTAACACTGAGAGACAATGTAGTGATTTTAGTATTTTAATGTCCTTCAAAACTCTTTAAAATGGGAACTCTAGTATTTTGGCAGCAGAGTATGTTACTCACGCTTCTGAGCATATTAAACCACCTATTTTTAAATATTTAGTATGTGTGCATGCATGTAGGTACATGTGCATATGTAGGTCAAAGGACAACTTGCAGAAATTGGTTCTTCCCCCACGTGAGTCCCAGGGATCAAGCTGGTGCCATGAGGCTCAGTAAGAAATGTCAATCCACTGAGCATTGGATTGCCAGCTCAAAAATTATCTGTTCATAAAAGCAAAATGTGAAGCAGTTCATAGAAAAATTTAAAAGTCATATACCATAAGCTTTCCATTATTACTCTACTGATATTGACTGAGGATATAGAGAAACTGGTTCTCTGCCATCTTGAAACATGGCTGGAAGAGGTGACCTTTGGTTCCTGGAGCTGGAAGAGGTGATTGGGCTGGTTGTAGTTGTTTGGTGCTGAGAATCAAGCACAGACAGACCCTTTTGTTTGCTTGGCAAATGTTGAAGTCCTGAGCTGTTGGGAGCCCTGTTATGACTTTTAAATCATGGTATTGTTTCCAAAAGAAGATACCAGAAGAACAAAAAAACCAAAATAAGTAAAAGACCGAAGACAAGCTTTTTCATTTCTGAAAGCTTTGGTGTGCTAGGGATACACCCAGCACTGCTGTTTCTGGACTGTGGCAGCTAACTCCTATCTGTAGTCCTTGTGGCGACAAGCAAGTTGCACTGTGGGCTTTGTATCCTGTCTGTTTTGATTTCTGTATCAACCTTAAGTTGCAATGAAGCATTGAAAGCTGGAGATGTGGGAGGTGAGATGGACATGTACCTCAGAGAAGTCCTAGATGAGGAATGGTCCAGAAGAAATGGACATCCAGCTTCCTCCTCCTCTTCTCTTTCTTATGGCCTTCAAGTTTTCATGGAGACCTAAAAGAATTAGCAGATGAGATACCAATGTTTATTTAATGTTTGCAAGATCCACTATACTTTGAGGTAAGAAGTCAATAAATGACTATTGGTCTACAGATTCTGGTTTATAATTAATTGACCCCCACACTAGCAAACTTGTGGATTCTTGTTGCAAATGGAAGATACAAGGATGACTTACATGCTAGGTTTTTTTGTTTGTTTGCTTTCTGAGACAGGGTTTCTCTGTGTAGGTCTCACTGTCCTGGAACTCACTCTGTAGACCAGGCTGGCCTTGAACTCAGAGATCTGCCTGCTTCTGCCTCCCGAGGGCTGAGATTAAAGATGTGCACCACCAATGCTCCACATACATGCTAGGTTTTAAGTGTCAAGTTTGGAATGATTTGAAAGACAACAGTTTTGAAACCATGGATTAGATCAGCAGAGAGGTTAGACAGATGAAACAATAGATTAAAAAATGTTGAGGCTAGCTTCGAAGTGGTGGCTCATGCCTTTAATCCCAGCACTCATGAGGCTGAGGCAGGTGAACCTCTGTGAGTTCCAGGCCAGGTCTACAGATTGAGTTCTAGGACACATATGAATGTGTGCATTTACATGCATGTGCCACAGCAAATATGTGGAAGTCAGAGGATAATTTCTTCAGTCTGAGCGCCATCTGAAGCTACAAAAATAAGAATATGTGGTTGGTTTGACAAGTGCAAACAAACTCCTTCATTTACCCAAATACATCCACAAGGCACCACAATAAACTAGAAATTGGAACCCATAGAGAAGTCTTTTTGAACTAAATACCCTTCCCCAGTTGTGGTGGTACATGCCTATAATCTCAACATTAAGAGGCAGAGGCAGAATGATTGCTATAAATTTGTGGCCAGCCTGAGCTCTATAGCAAGACTCAGTCTCAAAAGCAAACAAACAAACATAATAAAATCTGGATGTGACAGCTAACACTAGCATGTAGGATCTCAGAGGCAGGTGGATCTCTGTGAGTTCTAGGCTAGCCAGGGGTATACAGTGAAACTTTGTCTCAAATAACAATCAAACAAGAAATGATAAAGGAGAAGTATGGATTAGATGGGGAGGAGAAGGCCTGTACCACCATCACCTGGCACTAGCAATTTTTTCAAACCTTATTCAGATATAGGAATGAGAGTACTGAATTACCAAAAATGATTCCTTCCGGCACAAAGGAAATATTAGTTTATTTTCTTTTTCCAAGGACCATGTCCTATTGTTTACAGAGTACTATACTTCTACCCACTAATCATCATACTTGAGACAACAATAACACAGGCAATACCTGTCAGAGGAAATCATTAAAAGAAAAAACAAAAGAAAACAAAACCCTACTAATGTATGTAGGTCATCCCTTGGCCAATTTGGGACCTTAGAGAGGCTGTTCTACTGGTTTTCCTGAAATAGCTCCATACACCATAAGCTAACCTCAATCTAAGATACTTTCCAAATATGAATGGAATGACTATTGCCAAGAACCTGATTATGAAAGCTTATCCTGGAGTAGGAGAAGCAAAAATTCAGATGCATTCTGACACTGCTTATAGTATTAGTTTTTAAAAGATTTATTAGATCACAGAGAAAGTTTCTGGGAAAAAATTAATTTCTTTTCTAGAAATTGGGGGTGAGGGACTTAGGAGATGGCTCATTTGGTAAAATGCCTGACTTGAATTTGATCCCCAACATTCATGTGAAATGGCAGGTAGGCAGCTGGCATCTGTCACCCCAGCCCTGGAGGGGTGGAGACAGACAGATCCCTGGAGCTCACTGGCCAGTCAGCCTAACCAAATGGATGAGTTCCAGTTTTGGTCAGAAGCCATGTCTCAAAAAACGATGGTGGAAAGCAATTAAGGAAAACAACTGATGTTGGTGTCTGATCCACATAAACAGTTGCACACACATGAACATGAATCTTTCTCTCTCTCTCTCTCTCTCTCTCTCTCTCTCTCTCTCTCTCTCTCTCCACACACACACACACACACACACACACACACACACTACACATACATACCCTACAAAAAGGAGGATATAAGGTGTATACATATTTGCATAGTTAAAATAAAACAACATGAAAAGCTTAAATATAATCGGCTATAGTTTTTCCAAGGGAGGTGCAGGTTTTTGTTGTTGTTCTTTTTGTTTTTTGAGACATAGTTTCTTTGTGTAGCCTTGGTTGTCCTGGAACTCACTCTGTAAACCAGCTTGGCCTTGAACTCAGAGATCTGCCTGCCTCTGCCACCCAAGTGCTAGAATTAAAGGTACACACCACCACCACACTGGAAAATTTTAAAAGCTGTAATTTTGTGAGTTCTCAACTATATGTCAGGTACTGACTCTAATATTTTATTTATTCTCCAAGACAGGATCTCATTGTGTATCCCCCAATGTCCTGGAACTCAGTAAGTAGACCACATTGGTCTCAAATTCACAAAGATCCACTTGTCTCTGTTTCCTAAATATTTGGATTAAAGGTGTGCATCTGTCCTAAAGTACATTACATGCAGCTTTTCATTTGATACAAGGTGTGTGTGTGTGTGTGTGTGTGTGTGTGTGTGTTGGGAATTGGACCTAGAGTTTTCACTCATGCTAGGGAAATGCTCTATTAAAGAGCTATACTTCTGCTGCTATGTGTAGTTCTATGAGACTAGGAAATATGAGCCCCTGAAGTAAAGTTTATAGAGTCAGTAATTTTCTTAAAGTTATAGACAGTAACTGGAGACATATAGGTACATTCTGATCTTCTCCATGGCTTAAATATCTATTATCCTATTCTGCTTCTCAATCCTTGTTAAATTATATCCCCATATCTAACTCTTTTATTTTGTTTTGAACATTACTACATGGAATTGTCTATTTAATAACTCTACCTTGATGTCTGATAAGAAAACAACGTATTTCAGTAACTGTTACCACCTGCCTCAGTTGCTCCAGCACTAAATCTTGTAGGTGCCCTTAATTCCTCTATAAATGTACAGTCAACTTACATCAATTTTCCCCCTTTGAAGAAAGGATTTATTTTGGTTTGTGGTATGAGGGGATATGGTGCATAATGGGGAGGAAGGCATGGCAGTAAGAGGAGCTTGAAGCAACTGGTTATACTGCTTCTGCAGACAGGAAGCAGATAATGATGAGTGCTGGTATTTTCTGGCTTCTTCCTTTTCCCCTATCTTTCAGTCTGGGATTCCAGTCCATGGAACAGTGCCACTCATATTTGGTTTGGTCTTTTCTGTTACACCTCTCTCAAAGACATTCTACAGATATGCCCAGGGGTGTGTCCAATAGGTGATTCCAAAAGTAGTCAAACTATTAATGAAGATGTTCATCATAAGTCTACCACTTGTCAACTCTACAACAAAATACATCATTCCATTCCTGCTCTTCAACGGCTCATTCTAAATGGGTCAGCTATATCATCTCCTTTAAAGCTCAAGTATGACTACAGAAGAAGGGGAGGAATGAATATAACAGCCAGAGAATGGGGAGATCTGTAACAAAAAAGTCACCTGCTGGACATTGCACTCATGAAACACAGTTGGGGTTATCCATGTAAGACTTGCACATGGTTGGACATGTGACCATTTCATCATGGATTGGGGAGGAGTCATAAGGCCTAACACCTTTTTTTCAGGGTTTCTCCGTATTGCTCTGGAGGCTTTCCTGGCACTCACTCTGTAGACCAGGCTGGTCTCGAACTCACGGAGATCCACCTGCCTCTGCCTCCTGAGTGCTGGAATTAAAGGCATGCACCACTAACTTCTGGCGCCCCAATACCTTTTTAAAGTAGCAGTCACCTGTTGCTGGGGGAGATATCATTTCCTTCAGTGGTGTAGCTACTGATAAGCTGTTCTTTTATTCTAGTAAATAACCTCCCAGGACCATCAGGCAAGAAATTCTAATTAAACTTAGGACACACCCACACCCACACACATAAAAAGTAGGATCAGAAACTGTTGAGAAGACCTCCAGTGGGGGAGGGAAGGAGGTGAGAAATGGGAATGGGGGTATGAAATCAAAATTCATTATATAAATATATGATACTGTCAATTAAAAATTTAAAAAATTCCAAGGTTCAAAGTCTCTTCTGAGACTCAAAGCAACTGTGAGCTAATTACACATAAAATAAGTTACATACTTTGAATATAGACAATGGCACAGAATAAACATTCATAAGCCAAGAGAAATAATGGGGTGATGGTGAGAAAAGAATAGCCAAAACAAGACCAAAACCCAGTAGGAAATATACCAAATCCTGAAGCACATGATATGCATCAGGATTTATGCTGTCATTACTTATATTTCAACAAGCTTGGTATTACCAACCCTCTCTCTCTGTGGCCAGTAGCACATGCAGTCTCTTTTTTGGGCTATCTCCATTTTCCTTCTGCAGCTTTCCTCAGATGATCTTCCATGGCCCTGGTACTTTCAGCATCCTAAGGTCCCCACTGTATTTTTTTTTTTTTAGTGTTTTTCAAGACAGGGTTTTTCCATGTAGCTTTGGATGTCCCGAAACTCGCTCTGTAGACCAGGCTGTCCATAAACTCTGAGATCTGCCTACCTCTGCTTCCCAAGTGCTGGGACTAGAGGTGTATAGCACTATGCCAGGCTTCACTGTAACTTAGTCTTCACTGACAGCCTCAGGCAATGGTCTCCTCAGAGTCCTGTAGAAGATCTGACCTTGCTTCACATTGCCTGGTCTTGGCAGCTTTTAGAAATAATAATACATATAAGTTTTCATGACTTTGTAACTACTGCATTTTGTACATCTACAGAACCAGCTCCAGGAATGACACTTCCAAGGTCTGCTGCCAGGTTCTGCTGTAGTGTGGCCTCTTTTTACCACAGCTGTAGCTGCCTCTATGCATCTTGGTGGCTGAACATTGGGGAAAAAGCTTCCCTAGGCAGGTAAGCCCATCAGCAGCATTTTCAATTCAGGCTCATCTTTTGAGGTGAATTTTTACTTTCACAAGTTGGAGTCTTCAGTGGTGGAGTCTTGTCCTTGGGGTATCTTCCCTATTTTCCCACTGAAGAGTGAGAGGTTTCTCTTTACTAGTACTAATTCATTTGACAATCACAGTTGATTTAACCATGTGCAAATTTCTCATGTTTGTGCTGTCACTGCAGCACTGACTGAGAACAACGAGCAGTAACTGTGCCACAGCCTGAAAGTTATACTGTCTTGAAATTTCTAAAACAAACAAGTTAGTCTATTACCTTAGAATTTGACATTGGTCAAAAGTTTCAGTATATAGACAGAATGTATTCAAGTTCTTTGCTAGACTCAAACGTAAGTGGCGTCTAGCACAATAAGAGTCTCACTCCTAGTCAGGCATTAGTGGCGTATGCCTTTAATCCTAGTACTTGGGAGGCAGAGGCAGGTGGATCTCTGAATTCGAGACCAGCCTGGCCTACAAGAGCTAGTTCCAGGACAGCCTAAAGCCACAGAGAAACCCTGCCTTAAAAACTAAGAGAGAGAGAGAGAGAGAGAGAGAGAGAGAGAGAGAGAGAGAGACTGAGACTCACTCCTCTCTAAAACCTCATGAGCCTGGCCTCCACTGTATTTCTTTAGACTTTCAAACTCTAACCAGAATGACCTTTCAAGCTCTGCTTACAATATTCTAAGGTTTCTTTAGCCCATTGTGCCAGAATCTTTCAAATTCCCCCAGAAAGCCCAAGAACCACATGGTCAGGCTCATCACAGCACTTTGGTACCAATTCTCTGTAGCACTTTTCTTGTTGCCGTGGCAAAAATCAACCTAATGGAAGAAGTGTTTGCTTTGGCTTTTTGTTTGAATAGACACAGACTTATCACACCAGTGAAAACATGACTTCGAGGAGGCTCACACTGTGTCTGTAGTTAGGAATCCAGAAATATGCTGGTACTCTCATTGCTGAACCTGTTGGGTCTAGTTTCAAAGTACACCCAGACTTAACCACTTGTATCTCAGCGCCATAAACTAGCTCAAGCCATTATTATTCTCTACCTGGATTTCTGAGATAGTCTCATAAATAGCTGTTACCATTGTAGCTCATGCTCTATGAAGTATCCATCTATATTTTTGAGAACAAGAATCATATTGTTTTATTCTTCTGCTTGAAACAGGGCCCTAATGTAAACTTCTTAGACTGGCCTATAATTCCCACTATCCTCTGCCTTCTCTGTTTTTAACCATTAATAGTATATAGCTGCTCAGCATATTTCAGAGATGTTATTTTCAAATATCAAAACTTCAAATATGGCCCTGATGTTTTCAAATTTTACTATAACTTAATTTCTTATGCTTTGAGAGGACTGGAAAGGGCAAATTTGGAGTGGATTTTGTTCTTGGTGGTTTTTGTTTTCGATATAATCCCCCACTGAGTCCAAGCTGTGTAGCTTCAAATTCGAATCCTTAGTCTCCAGAGTTGTTAGAATTACAGGTGTGAACCACCATATACACTGCTGGGTTGGAGGTCGGAGGTAAAGGTATAAAGAGTAGGTCAAAGTACCAGAACAAATTTTAAAATGTAACAGGACTATTGGGTAGTATTGAGGGTTCAGCTGTGCTTTGTGATTGAAACCTAGTAATAGAATGCATATTGCTAAGCATTTTTCAGATTATGGCTAGTCACTTTAGTACCTAAAGGAAGATGTGGAGGGTAGGGTACTATTAAAAGAAAGATGATGCAAAGGGTTTAAGGTCTTGACAAATTGTTATGGTTAATATCATCAACTTGATGGACCAAGAATTACTTAGGAGATAAACCTATGGGTATGTCTATGAGGGACTTTCTAGATACAACAATTAAGGTGAAATATCCACTCTAAATGTGGCTGTAACATTCCATAGGTTGAGGTCCTAGACTGAAGAATAAGGAGAAAGTGATCTAAGTACATCAATTATCTTTCTTTGCTTCCTGACTGATAACACAATGTGACAAGCTTCCTCATACTTCTGTCACCATGTTTTCCTTGCCAGGATAGACCCTGTCCTCAAACTGTGAACCAAATCAATCCCCTCCTTCCTTAACTTGCTTTTGTCTGTTACTTTGTCACAACAACAAGAGAAATAATAAACACACAAGTGTTACTTAATTATTTCCATAGGTATAACACAATGAGGATGGAGAAGAACAAAGGGTGTTTGTGTCTATGGCTAGTCCTGGTTATGGCAATACTTATAATTGCTAAATAGAAACACTGACTCAATGGAGCAACATCACATAGAGCTGATGTTAAGAACTTTGATTTGAGCTGGGCATGGTGATGCGGGTCTCCAATTCTAGCATTTGGGAGACAGAGGCAAGGAGGTCAGAAGTTTAGGGTCATCCCTGGCTACATGATCTTATATCCTATGTTTAAAAAAAATTTTTTTAAAGGCTCAGCTGGTACAGAATGGCACATTCCACCAAGCCTGATGGCTTTAATCCAACTCCTGGAGCCCACACAGTGAAAAGAATGAGCTGACTCCCACAAGTTGTCTTCTGACCTCCACATGCCACACCCCCAACCCAGTAAATAAATGTATTCTTAAAGGAAATAAATTTGATCATTTGAAAACAAAATAGACAAATGAATACAGGCCATCTATATACATACATATAAGTTTCATGTTTCAAAGTCAATTTTTAAATGGAATCTATCTCTATTTTTTTTTTCAGGCTGCCTCGAACTCACAGAGATCTGCCTGTCTCTGCCCTCCAAAGTGCTGGGACTAAAGGTATATGCCACCACCGCCCGGCTGGGAATCTGCATCTTAAGCACTGTATTTGCCAAACTTTTCAACAAATGAAGGATTCAGCTTTTAAAAGGTTCTTAGTCTGGCCAATCCTTCATGTTACCGGAAGAGGGAGGCTTCTTGTTTTTGCTTCCTTCAAAACAATTCCCTGGTTCTCCAGTCCTATTTACAAGGTCCAAAGCAAATAAAACAAGTTAAGCCAAGTGTTGGAAAGGCATACAGTGCTTTGTCATGACCTCTAACAAATTAATTTGCCCAATAGTTCTCATTTATTGATTGAGTTTTAAGTTTCTGTGTTACAACTATGGTGAACTTTCTGTTTTGAGCAAGGCCATCTTCCCCTCCTCCTCTGTTGATCTAGCCATCCATCAACACAGCTCACTTCTGCACCACCTCCAGATAAGCACTCTCTCTTGCTACATTTGGTCCCCGTAGACGTGGTTTGCCTGTATTGTTTCTTGGAATAATTACTGCATTATACATTTCGTGTACTATATGGTTTGTATCACAAAGCCTCTCTGCTCCACGGCTGGGGATGGAAACCGGGGCCTTTGTGCATGGTAGGCAAACATGCCACCACAGGGCTACTACACTCTTGTCTTTCGGTTTTAGCGCCTCAGGTGCTTTTGCTATAACAGGGGCACTAGGACTCAGTGAAAACGAGCGCTAATCTTTCGGAGGCCCTTAGTGACCAACTGAGGAAAGCCATGGCGCTCACATTGTTGAGGACTCTCAAGAAGTGCTTGTCAAGATGAGTTCAGGAAACGTCTCTTTTCGATGACGTCACGTCAGGGGACCCGAGAACCGCTGCTGATCCACACGAGTGGACAGCAACACTCCCAACTACCTGTCACACAATTTGAAGTTTCCGCGTACTACAACCTTCCAGGCAGTAACTCGGGCAACGGGAATTTTTAACTGAGCAACAGACAGCTTTCCAGAACTAGCCAGGGCAGGTGAGAAGTGCCTGTGAGGCCCGGAAGCGAGGAAGGCCCGCAGCGAAAACCTCTGCCTGGGCCCTCCTCGGGCCCCTCCCCGCGACCGGAAGGCCTCAGGCTCCTCACCTCT